ATTCTGAGTTTTGACGATTTTTCCCAAAATTGGCCACGAGGCGCAGCAAGTTGCGGGACTAGGTGACTTGCACCATAGCAAAAGATTGATGTGGAAACGTGTTGCTTGCAAATTATGCAAGTAGGTTTGACTCCTTTGTAATGTTAATATTATCGTTATTTCTCTAATGATGTTGAATTTGATTATTTCAAGGTCCTCTATATAAAGATATCAGTCCCTATGAAAATTTTCAATTTATCAAAAAAACGATGATCTTTCCAAATTAAGAATCCAAATTAAGAAATTATTTGCATATGAACGTTCTTTAAAACTGATGTCCCAGGCCACAAGTACACATCTAAGGTTTGCTTGCCAAAGCCTCTTAGTGACTGTCGAAACTCTAATGAATAATTAATAATATACCTTGTCAAAACTCTGACGATTGACAAAACCCCCAAATGCAAAACTCTGCTGAAACTCTAATAAACAATTAATGTGTAACCTGTTGAAACACTGTTGATTGATTTCTGGAGGAGTTTTGTCCACAACCTTATACATCCAATAAAAATAACCATTCCAAATAAGGATACTCCGCAAGATGGAATTTGAAATTTGAGATCCACTATACATATAAAACTTTTCCTAAGAGTATTGCAAAAATGATCAATTAAGGCTCTGCATGAGCCAGCTCGCAAGCCATATAACTTAACAGGCTTGCAAGCCAGCTCATGAGGAGCCTTATGGTCAATCTATTGGTATTTAAATAAAAATTCAATCATTGTCTTGGTGGTTTTTTTAAAAGTTGACTTTCACTTTGTCAATCAAAACTCACAAAAATCATCACTAAAATGGGTAAATATTTATTTATAAATGGATCTCAATTAATATAAGACATATTTGAAATTAATATAGATGTCTTGGGTCATTCATTCCTCCCCAAGCTGCTAAACTGTCAATATGAAACAAATGAAATGAATAATTAGAATCACCAAATAGTTTGAATAAAATGAACAAAACGAACAAAATGAATAAACGGACAGTATGCCCATTTATTTTACTAACATTGCCTAATCAAATGAGGAAGGAGTAACAAGATGTTTGTAATGGTGTGGCCTTACAGCCTGACCTAACGGGTTGGGATCTTCTTTTCAAATTCTTTTCATTACTAGTATTGTTTCCAATAGCTTTTGAAGGGCCTAAATTCTCCTTATTTCTCCTGATTTTAATTCACTCAATTGAAAGGAAAAGCTTGATCAAAAGAGAGGAGAAAAAAGAAGATAATCAATCAACTATATAATAAAATCCAATTTTTTTGTGAGATCTAGAAGGAATATCATTGCAAAATTTAGCCAATGAAATCAAACTTCCACTATGCTAACCCAACTAGCATTAAGATTATGCAAGACAAATGTTATCCTATTTATTATATTAAAGTTTAGGTGATGGAATTTTTCATTGTTTCCTTTGATCATGCTATCTAAAATTGGATAACAATAAGGAAGAGGAACTCAACTATCATCAAGACAAGACAAGACAAAATGTTAATTATACATTTGTTGTACACATGTTACAATAATGAGTGGTGAAAATAATTTCCTTAATTAATTAATAAAGTTTATACAATTCCTGCCCCAAAATGCCTTCTCATCGACTGTTCATAAAACAAAGGGTTTGACCTTACCTATATAATCATCTCTATTGATGAGGACATATTTGCTGAGGCTAAGCTTGAGTAGTGCAAGCTCTTTGGAAAACTTGAACATACTGAGATTTGGTTTTTTTCAAAAAAAAAAGTGCTTTGATTGAGTATAAGAGATTGGAAAAAATTAATCATGATGGATTGAAAACTTTAATGTAAAATGTTTATTACTATATTAATATAATTTTTTAACAAAGTAGGCTTGGTAATACCAGTGACCTTTTCTGGGGATGCCTGTTTACTGCAATATCATGCTATTTAATCACTAATAAAATAATTAGCTCATGGGAAAATATCTCAAACAACAGAGAAGTAAATATTCTAGCATTCTAAACTTTAATTCTCAATTAAATTTAAACGAAGGAATTTAAATTAAGATTTCCAGCTGAAACTCTCTTTATTAGTAGCCAAAATTGCTGAAACACTTTTGGCAAAATTTACTTTTTTATAAGCCCAACTATTTTTTGTTATTAGCCAGAATTGGGCAAAATTACTTTAAAGTTGTTTAAGTTAAAATAAGTTGATGGGTATAGTTCTTTAATGTTCATGTTTATAAAAAATGCTGAGAAGCCCAAATTGCCCAAACTAGTTTGGGTTTTGAGAAAACAGTTTGGACCAGAAACCTTAATTTAAATGATTGATCACTTTAAAAATAACTTGAAAATAATTCTACAAAGTAAATTAGGATTTCAAAGAAATCAGAGAATTTGATGATAGAATCTTTAACATGTATAAATAATGTTGTAATTTCTCAACTTCATGCATCATCTTCATTATCTTTATCATCATAATAATTTAATAAATAATGCTGTCCTTAACCTTGTCCTTGTCCTTGTCCTTGTCATAGTCTTTGAATTATATTTTTGTAATGATAATAAATCAATCTCTAACAATGAATTCATACTAATCCCAAGCATAATAAATTTTCTCTTATTTTATATTTGTTTAATTTTTTTATTATTTTTTATTTCTTTTAGTTAATGAATTTTATTTAGTAGTTTTTAGATATGTGCCTGACTTGGTAGTAAAGAGGAAAACAGCTAGAAGGACACCCATCAAGAAACATGATTAGGATGTCTAAAAATATTATTTAGTATTTCTTATTGTAAGTAATTGTTTGATGATAGCAAAAAATAGTTTTGAGAGTAAACCATAAATATGCATTCATGGAAATTGTTGATATGTTTTAGTGTAAATAAATTGTATTAACATTGTTGGCATATTATTATTATAAATAAAATATTGAGGCACAGATTTTTATCTCACAATGATCATTTTTATTATTATTATTTATAGTGTTTTATATATACTGTTTTAACATTTTTATCATCTATAATGTTGAATATAAAAATACTAATAAAATAATAAATAAATAATACTAAATGATGATAAGAGACATGGTTATAGGTTAGTGGTTGTATCCATCAAATGATATTTACCAATTATTCACCAATTATCCAGTTAATTGTGTGTTGAAAATTTTCACTGGATTTTGAATTTTATTGACTGACTGATTATCCAGGTGTTGAGCTTTATTATTATTGATTGACCAAGTACTCAAATATCCAGATAATCAATGGATACACC